TCGGAGGCATGGTTTTCCTACACGGAAAGGAACACAAGCTGATGAGAGACGATGGTCAACCCTGGACGTATCTATCTTTACTATAATAGGCATAAATCTTTCTCGTGCCTTGGATATTGGTTATCTGAGTGTCGACCTACATCCCTATGATGTAGTCCGGGTATTCAAGGTAGGAGTAAGAGTATCGGAAAGTCATAAGATGGGAGTCGTTCCTACTAAGTTACCTTTATGTTGGAAAGGTTCACTCTCCGTCTTGGAAAGATCTGAGGACAGTTCGGAACGAAGATTGCAGAAAGAAAGGCTCATAAGGACTTATGGCTAAACACTCTCAATCGAGGTGTTGGAATCCGCTCTAATCGTATTACTTGCAACGGGAAAAGACGATTTACCTAACACATAGCGTGAGTAGTGTAATCACTAACTCACTAAATCGTATTATTTTATGGGTGTATTAGTGCGACGATAACGAGGAAAGACACTTCTCGGGTTCCATGTATTGGTTCCCTCTGTCTAACTCTTATCCTTGACTGGGACCGGCGTTGGTTCTCTTCGGGTAGTTACCTAGGGTTCTCCTCTCTTCTAGACATACTGAATCTCTACTCCGTCCTACTTCCGATTCTGACTCTGAGTGTCATCGCTGCATGGTGGATGACTGGAAATCTCAGAAGTTCAGGCGGATTTACCACCGGTGTCCCTAAAAGGTATAGGCACTTGGTGGTCTCAATAGTCTCGTCCTAGTTCATTTATTTCCGAACTGAAAATCTTCTCAATGAACTTCTTCTGGGTCTGAATCAACTCCTCTGTCGAATACTGAAGTGGATAAGGTTTTCTATAGGGTTCGTGCGAGAATGGAAATGTCTAAAGAATCCTAAGAGATTATTAAAACATTTCACTGGGTGATCCATATCGAGTCCTGCTACAATTACATAGGGTACACAAATTATATATAGCTTAGATCCGATAGACCTTCGAATATGTGGTACTACTCTATATCCACATCCCAACGAGGAAAAGGAAGTAGAGAGAAACCAAACATTCTTAGTCTATGGGATCCTTATTATATATAACCTTGGGAGTATACCCTCTGTAATCGTAGGTATATCAATAAGGATCTTTTTAGTTTTTCACACAAGGTTAGCTATGGATCCTAAAATACCCCTATGGTATTTTAATTACTTGTTTGATTCTTAAATTCTGAATATGACTCTGGGATTAATGTGAGTCTTTTAGTATTCCAAAATACTCCCATAGTATTTTAAACTTTATGTTTGGCTCTAGCATTCCTAGTTGGTAAGTTTCAGACCTGTTGCAACACTACCATCACTCCCACGCACACGTTCATCGCATCTCGAATAAATGTAGTTGATCAGGTTACATTTATTCCAGCTTACGATTACATAACTGCCCAGGTTTGTCGGTAATGGTCAACATCCAAAGACTTTTATTTTGTTCTTCTTGTGATACTTTGTTCGGGTATTTAGATTCTGGATGTTCTTATACTTTGGTAAAATATGGTTATATCGTAAAGTATAATTCTTGGTCAGAGTGTTTTATCCCAATGTATTTATAGGCTGTATATCTTTTATGAATTGATATACTGAGCTCACTATAAACAATGCTCTGATACCAATCTGTCACACCCCAAAACCGGAACGGCGGAAACGTTCTGGGGTGGATGACGTCATGTCAAGTATCACAACATATGCGGTATAGTAATCAAAGTACAACAACCATTGCATTAATAGTAATAGTTTTACATAAGTTACATTTCATAGAGACATTAAAGTAATACAGAAACTAGTATAGATGCAGCTCGGTTCTAGGCTGACTTCGCAAAAGCTCCCGGGTGTACCTGTCTATTGCTGACCTGAGAATACAAGTTATTTTGAAAGCGAGTATCAACATTTTATAATGATGGTGAGTTCATAAGTATTTAGTTTCATTTGTGTAAGTAAGCATTTTTATTCAAAATAACTTTATGAAAAGTAGTAGTTTAGAATCTACGGTGTATTAGCGTCCTTTTCCAGAAAATCCCATATTTTCTAAATAAAAGCAGTCTTCTACCAAGACCCGACAGAGTTATGTTTTAAAGAGTAATTTTTCCCGAAATACTATCATTATCAGAAAACAGTATTTACTTTAAGGGAATAATGAGAAAATCACAAGTAAAAATACCAGGGGAAAAATAACATATGCCTCAGCAGTAATACTGCTGATTTAGGGCAAAAGAAATCATAGACTCCAGGAGAATATCGAATGAATGATACGCCTGGCTCAGTCTAACAAAAGGAAGCACAGACTCCAGACAGTATCGAATGAACGACACAGCTAGCAAAGTCTAAAACAAGGAAATACAGTGATAAATCTTGTTACCTTAAGGCCATGAATTATAAGGTAAGCATGGAGATACTCGTAACCATACTGAATGACAGTAGAGAACTTGACGCCCTGCAAGCGTCAGAATGAATATGACATTTGTCACCCCTTGGCTTGGTCGGCCGGGGACTGTAGCTAGCAGTCAGGGTGCGGGAGTGTCAGTCCCGTATAGATCTATACACACAATGCCCGCTCTCCCTACAGGAGACTCTGGTTACCAACTTGACAACGGGGAAATCCGTGTCCAGAGGATGCATCTCGTATTCTAAATTCTAATATAGGTACTGGACTAATGATAAAGACTCACGAATGAACGGACTCCTTTGAAATTCTCGTACTAAAAAGAGTAAATAGAGGCTCCTAACTATTCCTATAATAGTTACTAGTGTCTCTGGTCTATGAACGGTGACTAGAAGGATGCCCTTGCTACCCAAGGGAAATGAACTAGTCAATAGAAACCTTTATGTCTATACATGTATACATAATATATAACTAATGTTTGAATGACCTTCAGACGGATAACCGATACCCACCAGACCACATCCCAACGAGGAAAAGGAAATAGGGCGAACTAGCCTTCCTAAGTCTTTCAAACATTATTTATATAACTATACAAATACAGGCATGCATTTAACGAAAGATCTATGAATGATGAATGGAAGAATGCCCTTGCTACCCAAGGGAAGTGAACTGTTCGATGGAAACCTTTATGTTTATACATGTATACATGATATACAACTAATGTTTAAACGACCTTCGGACGGATACAGGTACCCACCAGACCACATCCCAACGAGGAAAAGGAAATAGGGCGTACTAGCCTTCCTAAGTCTTTTAAACATTATTTATATAACTATACAAATATAAGCATGTATTTTAACGAAATAGAAACATAGAAGAAAACTCTGAAAAATACTTTGGAAAAACTTTACACATAAGAAACTTACGACTTGATGTCAGTTTGTAAAAACAAGTTTTGAAAATCTTTGGAATCCTTTGAAAAACCTTTCATACTTTATCAAGAGTTGAAAAAAAAACATAATTTGGAAACCTTTAAGCTAGATAAACAGTTTAATATGAAAAATCTATTTTGCTATACAGTTATTAATCACTTGAGATATATCTAATAACTGTACAGTTCAACTTGTATTCCCCCCCTATAAAAGCAGTAAAATCATTTAAAAAGGTCAATTCAGGGGTATGAACTCACCTGTTGTAAGTGGATCGGATGGAGGTGTCAGTTGGGTGCTCGGTGTCAAGTAAAGACTTGAACACGCTTATCGACCTATTAACATATGATAACATATGTTTACATACAATTAGTAATTATAATACCAATTAAACACGTATAAGCATCCTAGTGTGCGGAAAACACTTTGGTCAAGTGCTAGGAGGCTATAGGGTTGAAATAAGGGGGTGTATGGCCTAGTTAGGGAGTTTACTCTTCAAGAGTAAACTCTTTATGGAGTTTTCGGCCATAAGACCATATCCCCATGAGTTTACGGCCGTAAACTCATGAGTGGTGTGCTCTTGGATGCTAAAAGGTCTTATATCACTTGTAGAATTAGGCTAGGTTCAAATATAGGGTATAGGAAAGGGTTAAGGCTCCAAATGGACCACTTAAGGGAGTTCACGGCTGTAAACCTAGAGTTTACGGCCGTAAACTCTCACTTGGTCATTTCCTTCATGAATTAAGGTCTTAAATGATATAGTATAAAGTTCTATGCATTTTTCCAAGTCAAAATGGGGAAGTTAAGGCATCATTTGGCCTCATTTTGGGAGTTTACGGCCCATGGACCAATCCTTGGGGGGTTTACGGCCATAAACTCCTAGGTCCTTGGTTTCTTTGATGTTTAAAGCCCCTACTTCATTTGTGGTTGGTTCTAGACATTTACCCAAGCCTTAGGAGGTGTTTAAGGGCAATTTTAACACCTTAAAAGGTGTTCACGGCTCATGAAGAGGGGTTTACGGTCCAAGAGTGTTCTTGGGCCGTAAACTCATGTTTACTCCTCAAAATGCAAGGTTTTGGTGTTCTAAGCTCGTATGTGTAAGTCCACAAGTCATATCTAAGCCCTAGGAGTGATTTAGAAGGGTTTTGGGGCTTCAAAAACCCCACTTATGGGTGTTTACGGTCCAAGAGTGTTCTTGGGCCGTAAACACATGATTTGGCCCCTATTGGATGTCTTAAACACGAATTTTCATGTTAAATAAGCTACACAACAAGTTAGGATAGATTACCTACGATTTTGGAGCTCGAAATGGGCGTTTTTGGATTGAAAGCAACTTCTAGAGAGAGAGTAGAGAGAGAGTGAAAAGGGTGTAAATGAGGTTAACTTACCCTTATATAGGGGTTTGAGTTTGTGGCTCGGTGGAAATCTACCCGATACTAACATTAAACGGGGCTTTTGGTCGCACCCGATTAAATGGTCACAATTTGACTTGGGTTGAAACTAAAAATTTTCAAGGGAATATTGAGGGTGTTTCTAATTTGTTCCAACCCTTATGAAGTCATAATAAAAGTCCCAATTTAATTAACCTATTCCAAAAAGGTTAACGGACAGTTTAATAAAGCGAGGCTTATTAACGGAAAAAGAGGTCAAAATGACGGAATAAATTTCGGGTTGTCACAGTTCCTTTATGTAAGACATGTCATTAAGTCTACTCAAAATATCTGGGAATACAATGGATGTAACAGCATCAATAGGATTATCAGCAACAGGAATAAGAAGATCATCAGGTATAGTGATCCATGTACCATCGTCTTCACCTTCAAGTGTACATGTAAGAAGCCGACCAACACCCATTTCAAGAATCCATTTACTAAATTCACGCATTTTTATAAGTTCATCGCCAGTAATGTTTTGATCAGACAAACGCATGTTCGTTGTCAAAACAAAAAATCAACATGAATTCCATAGACCTTCTGATTTGTTTATACAAGAGGACACAACATCAGAACGGGATCCATGTTGAATAACAGGCAAAATTTGACGAAAATCACCCCCAAGAACTACCACTTTCCCTCCGAAAACTTTGTTTTCAGATCCAGCAACATAATAACGACATACATCACGAAATGCACGATCAACAGCTTCAAATGAATAACGATGTTGTAGTGGAGCTTCGTCCCAAATAATCAGCTCAGCAATATTAATCAACTCTGCGAGATCTGAGCCAACATCGATACCACAAGTTGAGTCTTTATCAACATCAATAGGAATATTAAACCTGGAATGCGCTGTACGACCACCAAGTAATAACAAAGATGCAATGTCAGACGAAGCGACTGATAAAACAATCTTTCCAGCGATCGAATAGAAGCAATAATTGTTCTCCACAAATATGTTTTGCCTGTCCCTCCAGAACCAGAGACAAAATAAAAGCCACCTGTCTTTTCATTGACAGCATTAATTATAATAGTATAAACTTCTTTCTGTTGCACATTTAAACCACTGTAAAGCTCATTGAAAATCCTTATTTCTTCTTTGACGTTGTATGTACGCTCAGCAACAATTAACCTATTCGAACCTATACTTAACAAACTATGGTTTAACTGAGGTAGACTGGGGAAATCAACCAATGAACGACAATTCCCATATAAAATATCATCGATATAAAGCAAAGTGTAGTTTACCAACTCATCATGCGATAACATTAGATCTTCATTATCAAGCAATCTACGTTGATTATAAGCAACATCTTCTGATAAAAACGGGAAAGAATCCCAAAAAAACTTTTCTTGATCAGCAACATCACAAAATAACAAAATAGTTACAAATAGTTCTCGAAGTTGCTTTCCTGACTGCCATTGGGAAGCCTCTCGGATTGACTCAACCCATACACCATCATCTCCTAGTAACCTCAACGCTTTGCAAGCAGACATATAGGTCGGATGCTCACCATCAACAGTGCGAATATCTTTAAAACTGCAGGGTCCACGTACAACATTTAGTAGCATACGAAGATAATACCTTTCTCCTTCATTTGGATTTACAAAATATAACCGACCAATAACCAAACCATTTTTACGTGGCCTCCATTCCTTAACATCCCCTTTTTCATGCCATGTAAACTTCGTCGGGAAGTCTGAATAAGTTAACAATCGGGCTTCTTCGTATAATTGATTTTCTCTCATCCATTCAGTAAACTTAGACACCGCAGATACCCTCCTATCCAAAACTTCTGCAATATCATCATCTTCTCTATAGTAAACTCTTTGACAATCCTCTTCTGAAATGGTAGTCTTTCTACTGCAACCGAGCGATATTGCATCTCAAATCCCAACAATTTCCAACATGCTTCTGATATAGAAATGTAACGATAATTAATATATTCTTCAATCTCATTCTCATTGTGCAACATCGATATAAAAGATCGTGTTCTGTCTGGACCTTCCAAAACAACAGTGGCACGATCATGGCCTTTATTAATGTAACTAAAAAGATACTTAATCAGATTGCCTTGGTTGCAATACTCAACATTTATATGACAACCATATTTGACAAGCAAATCGACATTATGAGGAACAACGTATCGGTTATCAAGCATGATATCCTCATTACCAACTTTAACTTTCAAACCATCGTTAGACCTCTTATAACAGGGCCAACCATCACGCCTAATGAAAGTTTCATCGCAATATTCCTTAGGGTACCCTTTAGAAAAACTTCCATTGTGCATACATGGACTTAAAGTGTTAAGTTGGCCACATGGACCATGCATCATGTGACTACGAACAGCTTCAAAAGCAACTGGGTCATTTTCCTGAGAAGGCAACTCTGCCGATACAAATTGATCAATCTTTTGGGATGTGGTTATTTTATCTGGCGGATGAAGAAACACAAGACAATGACAATGTGGCAACCCACGTGTTTGGAACTCAATTGTGTAAATAACTGAAAACACATATAATTAAAATTATACAGCTAAAGAACATACATTAAAATTAAAGACGAAAACAAATATATTAACAAAACATACCGGCTTTTGTACGACCAAAATGATTTTTTTTCCTTATGTCATTCATCAGCTCATCAAGCTTAATCTTGAACATACGCGCAACAATGTCAGGTCGATCGGTACTTGGTTGACCAGGTACCATTTGTTGAATATGACGTCCAATTTCTGGCCATTTAGGGTTGCACGTCATCGTAACAAATAGATCCGGAGTTCCAGCCCAACGGCATATGGCCATTGCATCCTGATATTGTTGTATCTTATGCCTCGGTCCACCATTGAATGATGATGGTAGTATAACTCGACGACCCACATATGAAGCACTTGTTTCGCCTCTACATAAACTATCAGTCAAACCATGATACAGCTCGGAACGAATAGTCTTTTGGTTTCTCTTATACCATTCTAAATCATGTTCAAGCACTGCAGCGTAAGCATCAACTATGAATGTATGAAACAAAACGACCGACTTTATGTAGAGTTTTACCTTCAGTTAACCGAAAATGCAAACGAAAACAATAATATTCCCTCAAGGTAACATTCTTTCTTTTGTGCGATGTAGAATTACTCGATAAAGGGATATTTAAATGGAACCCATCTTCTCCATATGGGAAAAGTAACGGATACTGCAACGCCATAAAAGATGGATGCAGTTCACTTATCCTTCGCACAGTACCATCACCACGATCCTCAATAAGTACATCACGAGACTGTATAGGACTACCATCACCTGGAATCAGTGCAGCTACTTCAGATACAGTTTGTAGATTATACTGTCTCCTCTCTTTGGTTCGGTTACCAATCAATCGAATCTTAACCGACCGTGTTGATGAGTCATGGAACCTATCTTTAGCCATACGAAATGCTTTAACCAATGATTTATTCTCATCTAGCATAGACAGAATTTTCTTGAACCAACAGTCGAAGCATAGTTACATCTGATCTTGTAGGAACACAATTGTGTAACGCATAAAATCGATTATCGATTTCATTTTCAGTATCATAAATGTACAACTGCGCAAACCTAGGACGTCCATCCTCGTGTGTAGGTAACAAAGTACCGATTCTATGGTGATTATGACCATTCAAATGAAATGTATACGGACCTCTACCATCATTACGACTCGTATGTATCTTTCCTCCGGTTGACGTGAACGCAAACATACGATTTAAAAGCTTAATATGTTTTCTAAAAACTTTTGAACGTCGATCACCGTTGTAATCCAGTAAGTTACACAACAATTGAGGAGGTTGCATGAGCAAAGGCAATTTAATCTTCCCTTCACTACAACATATGGAGAATTTTGGAATGGATGGCGAATACGTTTTAATGGTCCGCTCCTCATACCATAATATAGCTTCACAGTGTATATATGTGCGAGTTGCATCGCCACAATCCCAATACGACAACATACGACTTAAAGAACATGAATTTAAAGGAATTAAATATAAGAAAATGACATGCTATTACAAACTTGGAAAAGTGATTAATATATATTCAAGGATTACGTTGAGATTGTATAATTTGTGATTCATTAGAAGACGAACTTCTTGCGTTATCCACAGTTGGTATGGACGAATGTACAATAGAGAAATTTGTTGTAATCCGATCATTCGACTTAGCTGTTATAGTCGAATGTAATGAATTCCCACCAATATCAAAAGTTGTATGTGAATAAATTATCCTATGAGGTGCTGGCCGATCGGAAGTGCGCATCTCTTCGTTGTTGAGAGGAGAGCCTAACAAATATAAATATAAATAAATATATATATATATATATATATATATATATATATATATATATATATATATAAAATATAATATAATATAATATAAATGATACATATCCTTGAACAATGTAAGTAAGAGACACAACAACAAAGAAATGAGACACACCAGAAGAGGGTCTACCACGATGATGACATGTGGAGCTAATATTGTCAATGCTAAAAGTTGGAGGTCGTCCTCTTACCCGAGGACGACCTCCCCGACTTGGTCTCCTGACTGCTGGGGCATCAAAGGTATTAGAAGGTAAAACAGTATAAGTTCTACCATTATGCAGACTATAAGTTCGTACCACCGAATGTACAACTGAGTTATTACTTGTACTTGGAGCATTCAAGTTAGTCATTATAGTCGAATGAACTGGATTCCCATCAATACCAATAGTTGTACTTGAAGAAATTATTATGAGGTGATGGCCGATTGGAAGCGCGCGTCACGTCGATGTTGACAGTATAGGCTAATAAAATTTTATATAATTTAAATGATACATATAGTTGCTCAATGTAAGTAACTTACTTACAAAAATAAGTATACAAACCTGATGAGAATGCCATGTTAGGTACCGAATTTGAAGTAATAATATTCTCACTGACATGTATACTTCCATGTTGTGAATACCGATGAGCATTGTCACCAACAAAGTAAGGAGACACAACAAAAGATGGTCTCCCACGACGACACCTTGGGGAAGTAATATCGCCAATGCTACAATCTGGAGGTCGTCCTCTTACCCTAGGACGACCTCCACGGCGTCGTCTCGTGACTTGTTTGTCTTCAATATTATCAGAAGGTAAAGCGGTAGAAACATCGGTTGTTAATGGAAAATCAATGTCACTTGAATGAACAGACGTATTACCTAGACTATCCATTACAATATATCTGTTTCGATAACATATTATACATCATTAGATCCATAAAGAAAGCATTTTATACACTACTTAAAAGACAAATAACATATTGTTATGCTTTAATATAAACAATTATCAATTAAAATCTATTCTTTGCATAATTGACTTTATTTATTGTTTTTATGTTATAACATACATATGAAAATGGATTGTTATTTTTAGAAAATGTTAACTACTTCAACTATAACCTAATAGCAATTTTTTTGGTTTCTCTATATCATTATAAGACAAACATAAATTAAACAATTTTGAAAATAAAACAGTACTGTAGACATATAAAGGTTTAAAAAAAATATAATAAAAATAACCTAATAGCTAATCAAAGTAAAATTCTACTTTACTAATATACTAAATCTAAAACTTGTGTGCTTCAGACATATCTGGTTTAAATGCAAGTTGCATAAATTTTGTTGATACCAAAAGACACACTGCAAAAAAACAGTAATATATATTACAGATAAAACACTCTCATTTAATATTTTGAAACACAATATATTGTATAATAATAAGGAAAATATGATTCATAACATAGTTGACGGTAAGCGAACCAACTTGACCCGAGACAAAAAAATAATATATTTTCTTGATATTGCACGATACGTTGGAACAATAAGCGAAGCACTTGTGTCATATAGATTGATTTGAATTCTATGTCCCCTACAAATAATTTATACTTTTTAATAAAACATATTATTTTCCTATCATTTTACTTACAAAATACTTATGAAAAAATTTAATAAAAATATTTATCTTACAATTAATCTTCCAAAAGTATTATAAACTCATCTTTGAATTTAATCTGTTTGCCTTTGACAATCTTTCCAACAAAATCTACATAAAATGAAAACATAAAGTAATAACATATTGATATATATTTAATATATGTAATTGTTAATGTGATCACAAAATAAGTATGGTTTTATATTTACCAATTATAAGGTTTCGAATAGCACTGTCATGCACAACTATTTTAATACGAAACACTAATGGATATAAAGGAAATACATTGTCAACATCCACCTCTATCGGAGTGAGTTGTGTCTTCTCATTGATAATAATCTTTAAATCACCATAAATGAAACAGTAATTTTAATATCTAGCGTATTCATGGAAGTGAAATTTTTTCTACTTGAAATCACGATAACAATAAAAGACATCACATCAAATGATCACCATATAAATAAAATAATTCTTCTGGGACAAAACCTGCCATTTTTTTCTCTAAAAATATTTATGTATACATTTATGTATACATTTATAACTACAATTGTAAAAATAATTTTATAATAAATTTAGATTTCCTTTATTACGTTTATAATGTATTAGTTGATATGATTAACAGCTTTCATATTAATTTGGCAAACCCCAATGCAATACTTATTAAATTTCATATCAGTATGATACTAAATTAAAAAAAACAAAAAAAAAAAACTAAACCATAAAATCTATTAAACATGTTAATACTATTGACTAAGAAAGAAAAGTTAAGATGATGTATTGTTTCAAAGAAGTACATACCAAAAGAGAATTTGTTTGTGTTCACAGATATCATAAAGCAATAGATAACCTGTATAACAAAACATCTTACATAAAAATAAATTATAACATAAACACATCTACAATTTTACTCAAGACCCAAACAAAATGTTTCAAAATAATACAATATTGTTTTCTGTATCACGTTGTATTTACCGACAAACAAAAAAACCAACAAACATACTAAATAAAGTTGAAAACGCAATAAAATATTTAAATGGGTAAACGATCCAACTTATCTAATTTCACCAAAATCAAATAAATTTTATGGTATATCACACTTAACAACATATAAACAAACATTAAAAATAAGAAACTAATACATAATATGAACTTGAAACCTTGTATCACCCTTAGATGTGTTCCAATTTTAGAAAGCCCGAGTAATTGAACCACAATGAAGAAACGTACGGAGAGTTGGAGACACAGAAGGTTTCGATGTCATAAAATGGACACAGTTCATTAAAATCATTTAAATAGTATGAATCATTCTGCAAAGCAAAATCGGGTGTAATGGGTTATATAAGAAACGGTTATACCCACTAACCCTCAACTTTAATAATATGGTTCCTACACTCCAATAACCTTGACAGTGATAATTAGTGCATTCAACCGTTTTTTTAATTGATTTAACTAACCTTTAATTTAACAAATAATAGATAAAAACAGCAAGAAAAAACCAACACGTATCATTTCACTTTTACTCATTAAATATATTACATCTCAAACCTTTCTACCTGTTTAACCGAATTACAAAGTAAATTTTTGGTTAAATAACTTTTTTTTATTATCTGTGTTTTTTCAACAAAAATTGAAAACCACATATAAGGTAAAACACTAAAACTGCAATTAGGGGTAAAACGGTCCCAAAAAAATTAGGCAGATGGAGTAAAATGGTACATAATGTTTAAAACAAAAAAGGTATCATTTATATTTGTAAAAAAATATTACATGTATTTTGATTTCAAGATTTCTAACTGCATTCACCTAATGATGAAATATTGAAAATTACATATATAAAACGATTGTAAATCTACAAGAAACATTGAATAACAGTTAACTCACATCTATATTGTAAAAAAAAATTAAAAGATTTAACTATTTAAGCAATGTACTTTCAAATATAGTATCATATATTTAAAAAATTTATGCTATTTTTTTTATTCATATTTTATTTGCCATCCCATAAGCATTTCAATACAAATCGGGGAGGAGGGGTAAAATAGTCCAAAATCATAAATATGCAGGAGGGGTAAAATGGTCCAAAATCATTAAAACGAATTAGGAATTTGTTACATTAAAAAAAACATATTTGTTTTATTGTAAATAAAAATTAAAATTTAAAGTATGATGCTATAACTTAAACTATAATACTTAAATAATAAATAAATAACATAATTACTTTTTTTATTATTTGTTTTTTTACAACAAAAACTCTAAATGACCTGTAACATAAAACATTGATAATACAAGCAGGGGTAAAATGATTAAAATCATTAACAATGCATGAGGGAAAAAATGGTCCAATATCATTAAAACCAATTATCAATCTGTTAATGAAAATTCATTTCTATTTGAATGACATTATATGATTGGTAGATTTTCAAAGTAAAAAAGATTTAATAGGAAGAATGAAAGTGGGATGCTATGATAAACAAAGAAATGA